TTATAATTTTGCATTTGACAATATGACTGTTATGTACAACATGTGTTATCTTAGTGAGCAGAAGCTCTTGAATCGACGCATTAGCTGTCATTAAGATATCTTTAAGAAAGTTTTGTAAGAAATGCCTTGTAGACGTTGCTTAAAGAATTTTTAAAGATATCCTAAATATTGTTAATGCATTGATTTGCGAGCTTTTACTTACTGGAATATTACACTTAGATTATTGAGTGGGAAATTATAATAATGATGTAATGTTAGTGTTAGTTAGTGTTTACTGCGGTAGCACTGATTCTAATTTCTCTAGATCTACGATAATCGAGACATACGCCTCCATTTCCTTTACAAAAAAATATTATTTGCTGTGATAAATGGGTGGGACCCGATTGACCACGATACGATTGGACACAGATTGTAATGATTGGTTCGACCTAGTAATTCACTAGATAATTCTTTTCATCGGTTGGTTGTGTCCAATCGTACCGTGGTCGGGACGCTCCCGTGATAAATTGACCAGTGATAAATTGGCTGTAATAAATTGGCCAGTAATACTGTATTGCTTTTCACTTTTCAGTTTTATCATCTGCACGAATAATAAAACTACTGAATAACAATGATATATCAGTGATCAATTTATCACAGCCAGCAATATTATTTTATAAGGTTTATAAGAACGAAATATTATTACATACCCAACGAACACAGACATAATTGATATATAACATATACATAACATGGACGTATGTTACGTCTATATTATATAGCTGTTATATTCTGTGTTTGCTGGGATATGGAGTGAGACACATTATTGTAAACTTAATGAAGAAATTAAAATATGCGACAATTAACTCACGATGACCCCCCGAATGGATCTCCACCTTGGCGTGATGGTGAGGCTTAAGGCCGCATCCAGGGTCGCCTCATCAGGGGCGAAACTGGGTGCGACCGACAAAGCGAGACCCCTCAAGTCAAGGTGTCTCCGTGCCGAGGACTGCGTGGCGCAGGGGGAGCTGCGTCTCGAACGGAACTCTCGGATACCGGGCGACCTCCGAGAGTATGTAGCCAAGCCCCGGTCAATCGCGGCTCTGACCAGGTGATATCGCGTAACCGTGGTACTCGTGGGAACACATATGAAACCAAGTAAAAATATGAATTTCAATATCTCTCTTTCATCGCTGAAAGAGGCACTCCAGAAGGTCACTCCTAAAATAAAAGATGGGGCTGGGCCGTTGAAGGACTCCAAAACCCGCATTAGATATAGCGGTGCCGCCAGACGCCGATATAAAAAACAGCTGCAGAGGGAGAGGGCGGTCCAAACACCTCCTAAAGCGCTTGACAACACCCCTAAGGACAAGGGGGGGGGGATGTCACGGTCGGCGCAGTTAAACGCGCCAGGCCGGAGCATTGTACTCCCAGTCCCACGGGTGGTCACCAGGGCAAAAGACCCAAGATCTTAGATCAGGGGTCCTATGCCCAGGCGACCAAGGGCCTCATGAAGGTGGCCGTCATTCCGGACGGCTATCCTGAGAAAAGGCTCGCGTCGGAGGAGACCGCCCAGATTAGGAGGGCGATTAGGGGGCGCATCCTCTCCGAGGACGCGACGGCCCCCACGTTTTCTGGGTCGTGGGAAAGGGATGGCGCGATTATTTTCGCCTGTATTAATGAGGCAACCAAAGACTGGCTCTCAAGCCAGACTTCAAATATTAAGATTGGGAACGTTGCCCTGCGTGTGGTGCCACTTGGTGAACTCCTTGGGAGGCATCGGGTGGTCATCCGCGTAGGGGAACTGGATATAACCTCCGATGAAACACTCAGATTTTTGAGGAGACAAAATGAAGGTCTGACGACCACCGATTGGGTCGTCACTAGGGGTAGCGAGAGTAGGAATGCCAAGAGCGTCCACTTCGCCTGCCTTATTGACGACGGATCGATGGAGGTTCTAAAGACCCTCAATTTTAAACCCTTCTGCGGGCTAGGGCGGGCCGCGATAAAAGTGCTCGGCAAAGACCGAAAGGGGGGTGGGGATAAAGTGACCGAGACTGAAGAGACAGCCTAAAAATGGCCACCCTCAAAGTACTCGTCACGCAAATCAATTTGCATCATAGCAAATGCGCCTCGGCCACTTTGGCGAGGAGCCTGGCTAAGATGCAGACAGTCATAGCACTAATACAGAAGCCTTGGCTCCTGAACAATGCTATCAAAGGCCTGAGCGGGTGCGGTATCATATACAAAGCCAGCACGAGTGGAAAGATAAGAGCCTGTATTGCAGTAAAAGGAATAACAGTAACTTTTATGCCACAGCTTAGCTGCGAGGACCTGGTGGTGATCCAAACTAAAATCAATATAGGAGAGCAAGAGACCTTAGAGGTCCTAATAGGATCAGCCTATATGCCCTATGACTCCATGGAACCACCACCACAGGACGAAATCAGGAGACTAGTGGCCTATGCGGAGGAGAAAGGGCTCGAACTACTCCTGGGATGTGATGCAAACTCCCACCATGTTGGGTGGGGGAGCACGAACATCAATCAGAGAGGGGAAAGCCTACACAACTTCGTCATGGGCACAGGACTGATAATTCTAAATAGAGGCACAACACCCACCTTCAGGGATTCCAGAAGGGAAGAGGTAATTGACATCACGATAGGTACGGAGGAGGTGTCCAGACTGGTCGGAGATTGGAGGGTCTTAAAAGAACCTACAGGATCGGACCATAACAGGATACAATTCACCCTCCAGCACATATCAGAAGAAAAATGGGTAAGAAACCCAAGAAGGACTGATTGGATAGGCTATAGGAAAGATCTAATGGCCATGCTAACAAAAGCTCCAACCAGATTCCATACATACGAACAACTGGACACG